GAGAGAGAGAGAGAGAGAGAGAGAGAGAGAGAGAGAGAGAGAGAGAGCAGGATGAGCAAGCCACACACAGCGAGCCAGTAAGCAGTGTTCCATCAGAGCTTCTGCCTTAGTTCCTGTCCTGATCTCCCTCAGTAATAGTGTGACTTAAAAACTGTAACTTGAAATAAACCCTTTCCTCTCCAAGTTGCTTTTGTTTTGTTTTGTTTTGTCTTGCTTTTGAGACAGGGTTTCTCTGTGTAGTCCTGGCTGTCCTGGAACTCACTCTATAGACCAGGCTGGCCTCGAACTCAGAAATCCACTTGCCTTTGCCTCCCAAATGCTGGGATTCAAGGCATGCGCCACCACTGCCCGGCATCCAAGTTGCTTTTAGTGAGGGTTTTTTTCAAACCCTCAGAAACCTAAGACACCATCCATGTTCATTTGTAGAAAGTCCCATTAAACACAATGACTTCTGGGGAGTAATCTTGATTAGACAAGATCAGGAGAGTGGACCTCCATGATGGCCTCAGTGGAAGAGAAATCTGAGGTAATGTGCACCCTCTGCCTGGCCATGTGATGTTTTCCACCTCAGTGCAGCTTCCAGAGGTACAGAACTCAGCAACATCTATGCCTTGGTTTAGTCCGTTATTCATTTTTTGAGACAGGATCTCTATGTCGCCCAGACTAGCTCGAAACTTTTCCATTCTTCTACCTCTGCCTCCCAGTGCTGGGATTACAGGTATGCACCACTATACCCAATGACATAAACTTCTAATCCAGGCGTATCCAACCTGTGGCCTGAGTGTCACGTGTCCCAAGATAGCTATGAAATCAGCTCAACACATCTGAAAATGATGGCATCTGGTGGCAACGTCAAAAGGTTGGGTACCTCTGTGTCTTTGAAAATCACCCAGACTGTAGTATTCTGTAGTATCATAGCAACAGAAAACAGACTAGGAAGCAAGCCTGTAACATTGAGCACCAGGGAGCTACTGGTAGGAAGACTGCCTGAGTTCAAGGCCAGTCTAGGTTACATGAGTTCCAGATCACCCTGGGCTACATAGAGACACCAGCTCAAAAAACACAATAACCTTCCCCTTTCTCCATGAGAAACTAGATTATGGGACAGCCGCCTCGGGATCCAGTCCTTTCCAGTCTGACCTGCCTACTCCACCTCCTCCAGCCATCTACATCCTCCAGACATCAGGGGTCTTTGCCTACCAGGACTAGACACCGTGTCTGCCACCACCCCCCCCGCCTCACACTAAGGCCACGTGGTCACATGAGGTCCCACAGCTTCCGTGGCATCTCCAAGTGGCGTCTACTGACAAGCCTTCTCTAGCACTACTGACATTTTAGGGTAAATCTTTTTTTGTCCATAGTGGTTAGGAGATGCCCAGTTCCCCTCTAGTCTCTGTCTACTAGAAGCCAACAGCACCCCCTTCCTCAGTTGTAACAACCAAAAAAAAAAAAAAAAAGCCTCAGATATGGGGGAAAGTCTCCTGGGAGGCAAAACTCATATAAATTAGAGCAACAGCTTATACTTAGCTGGCCATTCCCTATTGATCCTACACTGGTTTGTTCTTATGGTCACTGCTGACGCTTTACACTGACCACAGAGTCTACAGTGAAGTACATTTGGTTGTTTTTGGTTTGGTTTTTTTCTGCCTTATAGCCACTGATGACAATCCCTGATGATAGGGATTTGATAGCTTTAATCGCAGAAACAGTATTCAAACCCCAGTTCCCAGCACTTACTTGCCGAGTCCCTAAGCCAACAGTTATTTCTCTACCTGTGAAGAAGAAATGGCTCTTAGCCAGGAGGGCTATGCGCTGAGGAACTCACTTGCACATAACCGGCTTACCGTAAGAGACAGATAGATGGTAGATCTTAGCAGGGAGTGGCAGCAGCATGCCTGTAATGCCAGTTCTTGGGGTTCAAACAAGGACTCAAACTGAGGTGGAGGCCTGCCTGGGC